GTAACTTTTTAGCTCTTTAGAAAAAAAGGGTATATTTAGTGATTTTTAAAATTTATCATTACTTAGAAAGTAGAGTAGTTTCATGATGCATATTTATTTTTGGAAACATTACACATATAATGGATGTGCACTTTTTATTAGGATAAAAATTTTTCTAGGTAATAGATTCATAAGAAAACAAAACATTATCAGGTTGTGTTTAGGTATGAATATGAATAACTATTTTAAATTATTACATATTTAAGTTTCAACATAATTTCAGGAAAAATAGCCATAAATATTGCCATTTTTTATTTCTGTGACTCTATACATTGATATCCCAGGATTGCTAACTAGTGGATACAGTGGTAACTCATAGAATATATAATTCAAAGGTTAAAAAAATACTGTATCCTTGTTCCTTCTTTCTTAGGCTACAAAAACTAAGAGGACCTTTGTTGTTGCTGCTGTTGTTTTAACAGAATCATCACTCGGCTTCTATAATATTCATCTGCTCAAATGACCATGAAGTAAAGCTTATAAAGGGCTTTTTCCCCAAAGTCAGCAAAATATTACTCACTTATTTAAGCCAAAGAAATATTGCAAAATGGCATCATAAGAAGTCTGACATTATGCAAAGCTTTTGCAGATAACTCATTTTACTTATTAAAGAAAAACACAGTTGGATACTCTGACAATTTTTGTGTTTCTAAAGATGGCAGGATTGAAATAGTGTATTAAAAAGGCTGTATAAGTGATTTGAGGTTGGGTATCTGGTACCATGCACTGCTAATTTGGGCACTCATAGTTTATTTGCAGTCATATTTCTTGGTTCTATTTTTTCTACAAATGCATCTTGTGGAGAAATTTGAATCTTATGAAACATCCTAGTACATGACCACAGAGGAAGCTATGCTGATTCCAAAAAGGGCAGGCCATCGTGGTATGAATGTTACAAGTGAGAGGAAGTGGAATGATGACTTGCATACCATTTCAATTACAGAAAAAGGCAAGTGGGTTAGTCTATCTACAGGCACGATCCTTTTAGGAAATTCCACTAAAAGAAAACAGGTCTTCCTGAAATGAGTGGGAAGGCCTCACACTCCGAGCATTGTAATTAGGTCTGTTTGTGTTCGCGGGGTCTTGGCTCTCTCAAGGATCCATGTGGTTTCATATATTAAACCCGACTCTGGCTGCCCTTTCACCCTGACTCAAATATAATCACTCACAGAATGAGTCTGACCAAGTTTCCTAAGCATCCTCCACCCAGCGGAAGTGGGAAAAAGGATACAGAGATAATTAACATTTATTAAGTGCTTACTACATGCCAAGCACTTGCTCAGTGCTTTTTTTATATATTATCGTGGTCATTCTTTTCACAACTGTAGGTGGTAGGTAATATAATCCATTAAATGTAAGGGCCAAAGTCAAGGTAAAACTTTATCTCATGCTAAGGACTATAGTCTGCCCTCCAAATTGAATATCATCCTGATATTAGTCCAAGACATAAAGTTTTGAAGAACAGTTGCCGTCAAATAGAAAACTACTGCAGGCCTCCAGCCATCTGCTCTATTGAATGGCTAATACATACAACTGGGTAGTAGTATTTTCATTTCAAATGTCAAGAAATCATTACTATAATGGCAGTGTAAACTTGTTTCCTTACTAAGAATATACAACAGAAAAATTTTACTTTATTTCCACATTATTAGTAAGCAGAAATTAGAATTGGATTTTAAAAACATATAATATTGAGAGAATTTATGTAGCCCAAGAAAAAGCAGTGAATTTTGCTACATCATGTCCAACCCATACCAGTATATTTCCTGAAATCAAAAGTTGCTCTAACCTCTAGAAACTTTAAATTAGAGTTTATTATCAATGATGAAGGTTTTTTAGAAACCTGTTACATATTAATATTTTAAAAAATCAATAGGTTTCATTTCTCTGAAGTTTCTTCATCTGGAAGTGTTATTCATTCCTAATAGTTCCTGTTAAAACTGAATTTAAACTTTTATTGGCACTACTATATAAATGTAAATTTAGTAATTATGAAAGTAGTAGAACTCCATTTTTAAAAATCTAGATATTTCAGGATCCAATTTTAGACAACTGTTTTTGGTTTTTGCTTTTGTTTTTGTTTTTTTGCTTTTATCAGGAACAAAAATTAAAGGTCACCTAAAATAGGCAAATTGATTCTTCCAAAAGAGTTGAATTGTTTTGAGAAAAATATATTAAGTCCTATGCCAAAATTAGTTTTAATAGCCCATAGACCCCTGAAAAAAATACCTTGTAAGGCTATGTTTTACTTGTGGAATACAGATGATTGTGCAGTCTCTGCTGATGCCTCAAAACTAATTTATTTTACGCATGAGTGTGTAAACACTATGTTTCCAATTTTATTCAGTAATGGTATTTAATTTCAAGAAGCTTGTGATTCACAGGCCCTTAGTTCTGTCTCAAACATGTCTGTAGCCTCCATCTTGCAGCAGTTCTGGTTTCTGCACCCTGTCAGATGTAACCTTTGTGCTAATTTGGAAAAATCAGTTCTCACGTTTAGTGCTGAGAGACTGATAACTGAATTCTCAAATGAACTACACATTTTCAGAGATGAAGTACAGAGCTGTGGACAATGACTGTGTTTTCCCACAGTGTAAATTCTTCAGCCTCGGCTGTCAACATGTGAGTGTGCAGCATAAAGGCAGCTTTAACTTGATGACTTTTTTTCTCTGAGGCCATAAAACTGAAATGGATACCAAACTCTCCTTTATGTTACTCCATCTTCTAATGAGATATTGTTTCTCATGGACAGTGAAAGCCTGTGTGCCCTTTAGGGATCCTAGTAGATCAAAGTCTCCTTCTTGCTGAATTAAAAACAAACAAACACACAAATATTTCCCTCCCACACAAATATTTCAGTTTGAGAATAGAACAGATAGCAACATTAAAAGAGGTTTTCTTCTACTAATTTTGTCTCTACACGTATTCTAGACTTAATAATTGACAGTGGAGATTCCAAAATTGTCCCCTGGGCTTTTGGAGTTTTACACACATCCCTCTCTTCCTCTCAGCATCTTTTCTTTTTCTTGGTGAGGCTTCTACTTTCTCAGATATGCAGAGAGGTACCACGAGACCTCCTCTATCCCCAGTGGCAGGGGGACATTTGACTATATGGTCAGCCCCTTTGATGATCACAGTGTTTGTAGTCACTCATAAACGATCTCAGGCATAATCTTCATTTAAAACAACCACGGATAAATGATGCCATGTTTAAAGAAAACATGGTAGAGTAAGAAATGAGGGAAGCTAAGAGAAGTGACTAATTTAAAGAGAATAAGCTAGTTAGTGACAAATACTACAGGAGAGCTTGTCTAAGTGGAGATTGATAAAAAGCTATCAGAAGTCATTAATGACCTGTGGAGGAAAAGTTTCATGGAAAAAGACTATTGGATGAAAGTCAAGTTGAAAGTGGCAAAAGGAAGTGAAACATGTTGAGGAAACAAGTCCTAACCAGGTTATGAACTTTGACATACAGAGAGAGACTTTGTGGCATACCATGATTAAGAGAGAAGGTTTTGCATTCAAAAGGTGAGCAAGATTCAGGTCAGGGGAAGAAATTAGTGCTAAAAAAGAGAGAAAGACAGCAAACAAAATCTAGATTGGGTAAATTTATGAAAGAATAGCAATGTGATTAAGAACAAAGGCAGAGGGTCAAAAGAGGAAGTAGGGGGCATGCTTTTGTCACTATTACATGAAAAATAATAGGACAAGCAGAAATCCTGTCATAGGAGGGAAGAGATGCTGACTGAGATAATTCGAGGTATGTTTTATGTTTTGAATGGTCGCTTTGAAGTGTAGGATAGATCAGAAGAAATATTGTCACACAACTCATGGTCTCTTGAAATTTCAGTGAAGTCTACAGGCAGCCTTATGATTTTTCTCCAACAATCCAATGAAGTACAGAAATAATGGAATGAAGTTTGGGTTTCTCAGAAGTAAGGCAGGAAAAACAAGTGTGGCAGAAGTTCAAAGAGTGAGATAATCAATCATCTTATGGAGAACATAGGTGAACTGTAAATCATGAGCTTCATTCTCTTTAATGA